GCTTATACGATGTGGTTTCTTTGAGTTCCAAATTTTGCTTTCGATACAATGGCAAAATTGCTAATTGGGAAGGTGTTTAAGTGGCGAAAAATGTAGTATTCTGAATTGAGACAAGTTAATATGTTGAAGACATTGATATTATGACATGGAAATGATTTAGTATTTTTCATTAGCAAATTTTTTACATTCTGAAATGTTATTTCTCGTCATTCATCGTTACTCCTCTGTAACCAAATGTCAACAAATTGTTCAACATTGTTGCGCTTTCTCTGAACATAGTGTGTAAGAAAAAGTTACTTTTTGAGGTGCCTAGCTACTGAAATCAGCTTCGCCATCAGGCCCCCAGCCCGCATATTCCAGCTTTTCACGCATAAATGTCTTGCCGTCAACCCTTCACCACTGAAATCCCGTCAGGAATTGTGGCCTTCCACTGTAGCGGATGGGTTACGAATATTACCGTTAAATTTTTAATTCCCCTGGGCAACCATCTTGAAAAAGCGAAGGAAATGACCTGTGTTCATGCAGGGAAGGGGTAGTGGGACGGGGAGTCATGTTAGAACACCGGATTTGGAACGTTCATAGAAGAAGGCACACTATCAATGGCGTAAGAAGACGTCATGGAAGCACGCAGATCTCCATGATGGCACTCCTATAATAAATGCACTTCACTTTTCATTTTAAAGTGATGTATTTTCAAGGGTAGGTATTTCTAATCCCATCAAGCCTAAACTTCTGTCAGCTTTACCCAGGCCAACGACCACTACCTACTTGTAATCCATGAGTTTGCCCAACGAAGAAAATCTGGGCAGAATGAGGGTCTCATTTGCGGGTTTTCGCGGTTGCCTTTGATCCTTCACTGCCACTTCTTCACTAATTCCATTTTTGATCATCGGCATTTTCTTTTCTTAATTGAAAAAACTATTGAACTTTTGGTAGACATGTTGTAGCTTACCTGTGTGCGTCCTCATCTCTGAACTCGATTCGTGATGTTCGTTTTGCGGTTTTCTTATTTGTTTATTGTTTAAGCTGAGATGAACCGAGCGCTGTTCTCTCGTTTTCTGTCTTTGCGACGTGTTCTTACGCAGCAGCCAAAACGTCTTGGGTCTGGCGGTCATCACGAGGTATGTTTTGAATATACTTTGCAGCCACCTTACAGTCAGTATGGGGTAAAAATCATCGTTCTTGCTTTCGCATAATTGATACGTACCTACTCCGCAATCGAATGCAATTGAAGTGAAGGGCGCGGGGGAAGGGCCAAGGAGAGTGAAGTGTTTTTAGTGATTGCATATGATATAGTTGACCTATTCAAGCTGTTGAAAGGAAAATTACTACGGAGAAATTATATGATGTTGTGACGTGCAATTCAAAACAGGTAGAAACACATCAATTTACAGGTTTTGAATCCTGGACCACCTGTGACCCTCGACTATATGGCCGTGCCTTTCCAGCCGTACCAAAAAGTACACGCTGAGTTACAGTCGAAATTCAACACATACCTCGCAATTTCGGCGACAATGTTCGTCGTGTCATTGGGACTGGTTAGTTTCTTGTTTCCAACTATGAAAATTTTCATTATTCGATCCTTCACCCCTTTCTTAAATTTATTTATGCAGAAGTCTAGTAATCTCGATTTCATGTGGTTCAAATGGAGAAAAGATATCAGCTCAACTTGGTGTAGTCTTTGCAACGTCTTTTACATGCTCTCAGCATTTCGAATGCTCGTTTCATTCCAATCCAGAACGTAACCACGAAAATCTTTCAGGATATGGAGCGCTTTTTTGAAAAGGGTTTTCATGTCATGGAGACACGCGTAGGGAGCACAAAACTGAGAACAATTTTTTCATGAAACCTAGCGTTTGTCATTCGATCCCGGCTGAGACGATTTTGCATTTCTTAATTGGGCACATTCTTGAGCGATTTTATGAACAAAAAAGTTTTCCAAAGTGCAACTACCCAACGCTTCAAACGCTGTGGAGTTTTTAAAAATGGAAAAGTTTCACTTCTCAAAGAAAATTTTCTGCCTTTTTCTGGCAATCCCAGGGCCGCTCAGAAAAATGATCATCAGTTTTATGCTCCACGCACGTGCCCCTATAACATGCAACAAACCGTTTTGAAAAGCGCTCCATGACCTGAAAGAGTATCCTGGAAAGAACCCAGGCAAAGTCTTTTTGGAAGTAATTGAGGATACTGTTTCTCGCGGATTTGGATCAAGTCAGCGAGCTGCATTCTTCTGGCATGATCCGAAATGCTCAACATTACTTGAAATTGTATGTTCGATACTGTGTTCGAAACGAGAAACTCGTAGTGTAGGCTGCCAGCTTTAAGTCTTGCTTTCTCACATGATTTGTACAGAATGAAAGGTTGAGGTCAACTAGTTGTAGTGTCGAAATTCCGCTAACTCACATTTCATATCAACAGTTCTTGCTTGAGTCAGCCACTGTTCAGTATACTATCATTGTCTAGAGCAGCACTGGCTTGGTGCTTCACATCTTCGAAAAATTTAATTTCAACACATCTTTAATGTTTTATCTTCTAGGCTATCTACACGGATCTGTTTGTGTTCGAAGCCATCCGCACGCCGTTGAGCTACAGAAATCGTCACAAACAAGCCTAAACAGTTTACTAGACGTCTCCTTTATTATTTAGATCCGGTTGGATGCCTTGATTCGTTCGAAATAAATGTAGCAGTTAATCTTTGTGTTTCTTTTCAGGTCTTTGACCAACGAAATATTTTGCATTACTAGCGATAAAGATTTAAGATTTCGAAGTTTAGTAAGTAGTTGTCTTGTTTGACGATGAGTAGGGCAGTTTTCATAGCCGCTTTGCATCGATTAACTCATTTTGTGAGGCGTCGGAATTGTACGAAAAATATTAGCTAGTCCTGCGGACGCGAAAATGAAATAACAATCGGAAAACGTTGTTGCTATTCCGTTGATTTAAATTATGATTTTGTT